TTTTGATGTTGTCAAAGGGGGAGAAAAATCCACATATAGCTCATATAAGCTCATATACTTATTCATATTCATATATGGTTTATGTGATGATTTGTCTATGTTTGGCTTATATGTGTGTTATAAGTTTATATTTCATATTCAAGTATAAATTGTTTGCCATCATCAAAAAGGGGGAGATTGTTGACTCTATAGTTTTGATGATGATTTGGCAAACAATTTATCACTAATAAGTTCTCTAGTGTTTTGTGTTTATGTTCTCTTTTCAGGTATTTCAACACACGTCAATCAAGCGTTAAAGATTCAAGTTCATTTGTGTGGATTTACCTAGGTATATGTTTAGTTTACTTACATATATTGTATGATTATATCTAAGCTCAATATATGTACATGTAACACGTTTTCTTGACGTTTTCTATCATATAAATGATTTTTTCATCAAACGTTGTTACAATAACTTTTATCTCATGTTTACAGCTCTTTCGTACTTTATGATATATGCACAATACATATCTACAAGTCCTATATCAACTTTCACTTTCATAAAAATACAGGTTTTCTAAGCATTTTTCAAAAACAGGTAGTTTTCACAAACGAAAATTGTTTTTCCAAAAATTCCTTTTCAAACATGTTCATTTCATCATTTAGAAACTTTTCCCAAAATTTCACTATTTTTGGATGTGATTTGATATTTTTAACGAATTTTCAAAACTTCCCAAAACCTGTCAGTATTGCCTATATCTGTTTTCGGTCGACCAATCCGGTCGACCGACAGTGGTTTGTTGAGCTCATACTCGCGGTCGACCGCACCGGTCGACCGAGAGAAAATCCGATCGACCGAAAATTCTGTCGGTCGACCGCCAGCTCTAAACCCTGATTATCTGAGTTTTTGAGCGTAGCGGTCGACCGGACCGGTCGACCGCCGAGTTGTCAGAATGAGTATACCGGCTAGTTTTTCAAATGGGTTTTTTGGTCTTTTTACCTTCTTTTAGCTATTGTATTGGGATACTATATATACCCCATTGCTGCTCTTCCTCTATACAACTAAGAAATCCAAGTTTGGTGTTTTACGAAAGATTAAGTGCGTTTAAGAGCTGTTTAAAGTTGGTTTCATTAATCAGTTTTTAAGAGAAGTTTTTCTACAACAAGAAGAGGCTTGCAAATCCTATTGGGATCATCATTTCTTCAGCTCTTCTTGTCCATTGAGAAGTTTTCTAAACTCTTCTTTATATAGCTTATTATTTCACTTTCATTTGATTAGCTATATTCATTGAATTATATTTATTGAGTTTCATTCACTATTATCACACACACTTATTGAGCTTAATATTTTCATATTATATTTTGTGGGTTGTGGGGTGTGATTTAGTGAGTGTGAGCTTCATTGAGTTCTCACTTGTTATTTGAGAACAAATCATTGTATTTAACTTTTATTTGTGAGAATCACTTGTAATACACTTGTACACCGAGAGAAGTGTGAGGAGAGAGAGACGGGGTCAAATCCAATAGGAGTGGCGTCGATTGACGAACCTAGGGAGAGGTTGTAATCGAGCACTTGAGGAGGAGGACACGGGCTAGGTTCCTACACTTAGTGTGTAAAGTGTGATTGTTGAGTGATTGTGTAGTGTGAGAGTTTTCGGTGAACTTGTAAACCGAGTGTGTAGAAGTTCCGGCTTCCAAACCGGATTGTGAACAGAATGAAGGGGAATAATTAAAACAATATAAACAAGAAACAAACACAGAAGCAAGGTAAGGATTGACAAAGTGCTCTCCTATACTTTTCGAATTGTCAGGAGGTACATTCTATGCATGATATTTGGGGTTTGGGGATTCCTCTTCAACCTGGGAAGTTGGATAAATCGGAGTGTACTTTAATGAAAAACCTTCACAAGATCTTTGCTAAAAGTGGAAAAGCCCTCCTTTCAAGGTAGACAGTAGACTTGTATTAGTCAATTGACACCTATCAACCATCTTGTTATATATGATGTCTTCTAATAGAATGCCTACATCGGTGAGAGAGGATCAACATTCAAAAGAAGAATTTCTTCTAGGAAAGCAGTGGAGATTGTAACGGTTTTGCTTGCGTAGAGAACTGGAGAGTTTTTTGTTGAAAGAACAAAGCTGCGGTTTAGGAGTGATATCTCTCGCAGAAGTAAATAGCCTGATAGGCAAATGGATCTAAAGCTTTTTTTTGGCACATAAAGATTTGATTTGGAAGAAAATTATACTCGACAAGTATAGAAACAAAGTTTTTGGGAAGCAGACATAAAAACAGGTATATGTTTCGGTTTGTGGAAGTGTATAGTAGGACTGGAAAATAAATTACTTGTTAGTACAAAAGTTAACCTTGACAATGGTCAATGGGCTGGGTTACAGAACGGGAAGATGGATTCTTGCGCTATTATCCCATGCTAAGCCAGCCTACTGCTACTGTAAGATCTCAACACTACCATAAGGACAATGTTTAGATATGGAAACCATGTTCTAGATTTTTACAGGAGAGTTGGAAACATTTGCTATTTGAAGTATTACAAACATTGATGAGAAACAGTTTATGAGATGAATGACACTAGGGTATGGAATTGCGCAACAAACAAGACTTAAGGCCAATGTATTAAATATCAAAAATATCGGAAATATCGGATGGTCAAAATCTATATCAGATTGCAGAAATTGGGGATATAACGGGGATATGTAAAAAATATCAATGTGTCATATTGGACGATGTTCATATGTAACATAACATTGTAATATGTAATCAAAATATATTTAATGCATTCTAAACAAAAGAAATTGCATCATGAATATTGACATATGACATTTAGACACATTAGATATAGGTAGCAGTCAGAGAGAGGGAGAAGACATGAACAAAGGAGAGAGAGAGAGGAAGATAGAGAGAGAAGGGAGAAAGAAGGGGAGAGGGAGAGGGAGAGGAGAGAGGAAGAGAGACAGAGGGGTCTGAGGAGGAGCTGAGAGATATAGAGAGAGCTGAGAGAGAGGAGAATTGGAGAAGAGAGAGAGTGGAGAAAGAGGAGAGAGATTTGTACCTAAGGTCACCTAGCGTTTTTGAGCTGGAGTGCCAAACAAAGAGGGAGGATAAATATGAGATTGACTAGAGATTTAGGGTATTTGGGTTTGGGAATTTATTAAGATTTCGAGTCTGGTGGGAACCACAATCAAACCCAAACTCAATAACCATTTTCATTTGGATATTAACCAATATCGGCCGATATTTCCTCAATAAAATATCGGCCGATATATCCGATATATCAAAAAAAAGTAATAAAAATCAAAAAACAAATGTTTCTCATAAATATCATTTCGGAAGGGTATCAAAACTGATATATCGGCTGGTATAGCGACATATCGAATGATATTTAATACACTGCTCTTTCCTCAAGTTTGGTTGTGTCGAAGCAACCTGCATCTCTATTCATGCAAGAGTTCAGTTCACGTCAAAACTTCATCTAATTAATTATCAGATGAAGACTAAATGCCAAGAGAATGTCAGCAAGCAAAGGAATTCTACAGGGATCGAAGTACATCCTAGTTAAACATTGGAACTTGCAAGTTCGGGCTCATTCAGACAATACAGGACCCATCTGTGGTGTAAGATATTCGCATTGTGAGTATGCTTTGTTGAAGAGAGCATATATAACAATAGTAAATTTAAAAAATAAGTCACAGTGCTGCTTAACTCTATTTGATTCTGTTAACACCTACATTGATAATGTGTCTTCAAAGGCATAGAAAGCTCGTCTGACATGGAAAAAGACCAAGGAAACTTGCAGGACAGAACCTAGATGATGCTGTTACAAGGAAATAAGGGCAAGAATAATCTACGCGGGTTGTGATTTTAACAAGAAGCTGCTTCAGTTCGAGTTAGATGGTTTAAAATTATGTTATCATACCGGAAACAATTCAGATTTGGATTGGTGTGCTAAAATGCTACTGTGTTTCCTTCACACATCCATAACCAATAAGCGACCCTTTTTTTATTTCTCGGGCAAGCTGGATGTTTAGCCCATCTGTTTAGCCCATCTTGTTCCAGGTGTGTAGTAGGCCATAAGGAGTCTGCTTGCAATTTTTCGTGTACATTGAAAATGGAGGGATTCCCTTATAGAGTACTTCATCCTTTCTCTTCAAATTAGAGTAACAAAGAACACTCTTAGTATGGTTGCAAGTGAATAGTGAACATTTCAGCAATTGTACGACCTCGAGATCAAGCGATGATTTCAGGAACGACAGCCAGCCTATACTAACACCATTATGTGAACTGTTCGTGCTCCAAGCTGAATAAGTCTTCTAATTCACTTCCACTATCTACAACTTGACTGATAAGAAATTTCTCTTTTCTTCCCAGAGGAACAGAAACTAAGCATAGACTAAAATATATGTGACACTCGCAGACTTTTTTCCCACTTAAGTTTGTATCTCGTTATTAGCTTTGTCTACACAGAGAAGATAGTGGATGACTTCGGGAGCAGCTGCACTTGCTCTCTGTATACAACCTGGTCAATAGCTAACCGTGCCTCCTAGAAAATAATTTTACCAGACTTATTAATGAAATATAGAATAGATCAAAAGCATTTTTCTCACGTATAGAACACAAAACAGGGTAAATTTTGAACATGCTAAATATGTTAGCCAATGCTTTAAAAAGCTGCCAAGGCCCATGCCGCCCATCAAGGTCTACGAAGCGCCTAGGGAAGCATGGGCCTCTTACACGGACTGCACTCCTTTGGTCTTGATCGTGATTTCCTCTGCTACAGCCTCCACGTCCTCTAACCTCCTCCGAACTCCTTTGGCCTCCTCTACTTACTATGAACACCTCCTCCACATCCTTTGGCTTTCAGAAAACCTCTTCCACCACCATTTAAACAAAGAAAGAAATCTACCTAAGCATCTAGGCGCCTAGCGTTTTCATTGGCGTTTATTATCAATTGTTGTAACTAACGCATAAAAAAAAAGGAAAACCGCCTAGGCGCTGCCACTGATTGTGTTAAAAAGAACTTTCTGATTACTTTTTCTTTATTCATTTATTTAAACCAAATCTAATGCTTTAAACTAGAAACACCCTGAAACAGGTCTGATTAAGAAAAGGAAGGCCTACGACTAACTTCCGGAATAGCCTTTTCTTGTGACGCAAACTTGAAACTCATCAAACAGTTCCAGAGCAGAGCAACTAGAGAGAGAAAATCACCTCCAAAACCTACATAAACACCAACAATAGAAATAAACTAGAGAAGCACACTAACCAATTAATAGCCAGGAAATAGTTCAGAGAAGAACAATAATCTGTACCCAAATCTCAAATTTTGCATCACAATAATTAAAAAAAATAGAACAATATCGTTTGATAAGCCATGAGTTGACAACAAAATAATTTCATTCATTGGTGTATAGAAATGCAAACAAAATCAAAAGTTTTGGTAACTGAAGGAATAATGTTCAATTGAGTTATTGGGGGTTTTATTTACATTAAATCCCAATCAGTTATGAACTCAAAAGACATTGTAAACCCTATAATCTGTACCCAAATCCCAAATTTTGCATCACAATAATTAAAAAAAAAAAGGCCAATGAATTGCTGGCAACAAGCTTCTCAAGGTTAGTTTGTTTATTTTAGATTCATGGGAAAATACATAGAATACCTCTTCACGGCCACCGTCGGCATCTCCGTTGACGTTTGATAATCTCCGGCCAATCTTGTTCGTGGGTATCGCCGGAAGTGGTCACTTTGCCCACAAACCAATCCAACTTTTGGGTTTGATCGTCCGTAGAAAAGAACAAACCCAGAATGAAGATGAAGTCGGGAGAGAAATAGGAAATTTCCGCTTAGGGCCTGTTCGTTTGCCTAAAAAAAAGAGGGAAATCAAATAAATGGAAAACTATTAAAATGAAGAATTGTTTTTGGAGTGTTTGGTTGGCTAAAAAAGAAGGAAATCAAAGAAATGAAATTGAAATGATGTTAGTTGTCACCTTATTATTGAATGATGTTTGTGATTTTTTAAGAAAACTAGTTTTGGAGTATTCGGTTGGCGAAAAAAAAATAAGGAAATGAATTATAAGAAACCTATTTCCTGTAGTTTCTTGTTTTCTTTTGTTCGGTTCATTCTTAAAAATAAGAAATGAAATGAGATGAGATGAGTTGTCATTGTATTATTGGGTGATGTGAAGAAAGATTAAGAAAAGTGTTTTCATAACTTTTTGGGATGAAAATGAAGAAATGAAATGTTAATGAGATGAAGTGAATTGTTATAATATTTTATTGGATGATGTGAGTGATTTGAAATGATGAGAAGAGATGAGTTGAGTGATGTTTGGATGAAAATAATATTTTATTAGATGTGATGGATGAGTTGTTAGATGAAAATAATATTTTATTAGATGTGATGGATGAGTGGTTAGATAAAAATCATATTTTATTAGATGATGTGGATGAGTTGTTGGATGAAAATAATATTTTATTGGATGTTGTGGGTGAGTTTTAGGGATGGAAATGGAGGAAATGGTGAGTTTTGAGATTTTCACCATTTCCATTTCCATTTCTTGGTTTTTAGAAAACTAACGAACAGGCCCTTAACGCCAAACATTCTGGAACTTGATTTCTAGTCCAAATTAAATCGCATACAGATAATTAGTTTCTGGAAACATTAGCTTCCAACCCTTTAGGATAGAAAATTTTACAATTAACTCCAAATTGTGTTTAAGAAAAAACGATAGAAAAAAAATTTCAGAGAAGACCCTAGAAACGAGAGCACTGTTTTTCATACTCAAAATAGTTTATAATTAGAATTTTTATTATTTATACATATTATATGCATATAGGTTTGATCGAGGAGTAGATTTGAGTATAGTTCTCTAAAAAATATTAACGATTTCTAAAGTTGAGTAGATTTCTTATCATTAGTTTTTTTTTAATATTTTGGTATAAAAGTAGTCTATCATATACAATTGTCTTATTTTAGTAAAGATAAACAGTTAGATCAGACATAATATTACTATTTCAATCATAGAAAAACTAATAAAGAATTTAATATTGAGTAGTTATTTATCATTAACAATTTAATATTATCTAATATGCAAACTGTTGAAAATATATTTTAAGTTACTGTTCATATGACATCTATTGGAAAATTGAACAATTGACAAATATAAATTTAATTAGTATAGATTCATGAATACTCTATTTCCATGAATGTTGATATCAGTTAATGAACAGGGAATTTATTTATGGATTATGGGAGTGTTAGACTCCTCAAGCTCCTTCAGATGACTAGTTCTGGAG